TATATATATGTGTGTGTGTGTGTGTGTGTGTGTGTGTGTGTGTGTGTGTGTGTGTGTGTGTGTGTGTGTGTGTGTGTTCTGTTATTAACTTTTGAAGTGATTCGTTGGACAAATTTCATAGTTTCAAGTATTCTATTTGCGATATATGATTACTTAATATTGGCTATCTAAATAACACTTATAGGTTGAAGATATTGATAAAAAGAAATATTGAAATTAAAAATTATTTATTATCAAGGAAGGCCTCATGCGATGGTAAAGTTATCGAAAAATCTGTAGTTGACGAAATATTTTATATTGTATCATACTATATTTTAACATAAAATATAAAATATTAAGTAATTAATTTTTCATATCTTAATACTTTTATGCACGGAATAATGAAATAAATCAATTGGTCATTGGTATTAACCAATTTTTGCTTTAAGCATTTTTTTCTATTTCCAAAACTATGAGTGTTATTCAAGTTGATTTTAAGTGATCCAATATAATAATAAGCATGATGTCATATTTACAATCATTTAATACAATTCAAAATAATTTTAAAAAAGAAAAATAAATTTAAAAAACAATATTAATTGATAAATTATTAAATAAGAAATTTGACGATAAATCATTAAATCATCTTAAAATAAATTATAAATTAAATAAAAATAATAAATGAATTATATTACATAAATATTTTTCTTTTATAGGTCAAATCAGATAAAGTAAAATAATATTATATATCAGCTTCGGCGCTGTATATCGGCTGCCATAATACATATTTTCTGCTTGGCGCTGTATAACGGTTGCCTTAATTTTCTGCTTAGCGCTGTATAACTACAGCAGCTTGGCGCTGCTATAATCGCTGATTATACATAATACAATTAATTTAGATTAAAGAGAGAAAACATATCTATTCACAAAAAGAAACTTATGACTTTAATGCTTATAGATAAAAATATAATTATTAATGATGAATGGTTGACAGACATACATGTGGAACATTTCCATCATCTATTACGAAATTATTCTGAATATATACCTGTTGAAACATGGCGAATACAATGTCTCGAAACAATACAACCTATATTGATAAATAAAAAACATATACAAATATTACACAGTTCATCTGATCCATATGATGGACATTGGATATGTAGTTACTATGATACTAAAAATATTTTTATATATGATTCATTAAATGGTACAAAATTACATATACATCATGAACAATTCTTAAAAAGATTATTTTCAACATATAACTTTGAAAAAAATAATGCAGTTAAGTTTCCTGTTGTGCAACGTCAACCAAATAGCAATGATTGCGGTGTTTTCGCAATAGTTTTTGCACTTTCATTGTTATTTAATATTAAATCAGAAAAATAAAATATAATCATAGTTTAATGCATTTACATTTGATAAAAATTTCAGAAACTAATATAATTAAACATTTTCCTCAAGATTCACATAGTGCTGTAATAAAAGTGCTGTAATAAAAGTGTTGCCATTAGCAGTAATTAAAGACAGAGAAGCTTATATGCGCTCAACACGTCAAAGTGAATAAAAGTATAAATATATTATCAAAGATAAAGAATGTTTGAAAAGTAGACGTGCTAAAAAGCGGCGTCAATACAATGAAAATCTAGAAGATAATCATGCTAAAAAGCGCTGCCTATATAATAAAAATCTAATAGATAATCGTGCTAAAAAGCGGTACGAAGAAAATTTGGAAGTTAATCGTGTTAAAAAACGATGTTGATATCAAGAAAATGTTGAACATAATACAGTATATAATACAGTAAGTGTGTACGTATATGTTTTAATGCGATCCGGGCGCACCAAGTTTTTGTATGTCGTTTTTTTTTCTTACACATCAGATTTTCTTTTATATTTTATTTTTATATAAACACAAGTATAATAATTCAATAAAATTTTTTTGACAACTACAAATTGACATTAATTTTGAATTGATAACATTTTTTTTCACCTTTGCAAAGTTTCTTTTCTACTTCATATAATTAAAAGTTTGTGCCAATTTTTGATATCACGTTTTTTGTAGAAATAATGAAACGATTTTTCAAATAAAAATGAATTACAAAATAAAATGTATTTCAATGTAAAACTCTTTTTATTTTATTAAATTAGAAGTTGACGCCAGTTCTTCATATCACATCTTTTGTACCAATATGAAATTTATTATTAAAAAGACTTTTGTAGATAGAAATTTTTGTATAAAATTCTTTCTTTTACATAAATAAGAAAAGGGGCGCGTGAACTTCGTATTATTTTTACCTTTTTTAAATACCATCAATATCACATTTTATTTCTTTTATATTGTAGGTGTAATTTTCTTTATCATCAATAAGTTCTACTTCTTCTGCTTCTGATATGTCAAAAGCGTTAAGCCTCATATTACTTACTCGTATTAATTGATAACTAATCACTTTACAGAACAAAATCAATTATAAAACTATTCACTATAACAATCTGCTCTGTTTTATATCAAGTTTAAATCTGAATTCATTGTAACGATCTGCGCTCCTTTATATTAATGATGATATGACTAATGTAGGCAAATAAAACTATGCCTCAGTAAATTTATAAATCTATTTTTGTTTAGCATCGGATTAAGAAAGCTTGTGTAATGATTTTCTTGCACATATGCAAATAAAGCTATGCGTAAACAAATCTCTTTTCTGCATGACGTCGGTATATTACAATACAAAATATAAATATTGATCGATAAAATATATTTATAACATTGTCATAACTGCTCTACGATCAAAATTAAATAAAAGAAAATTACTTTATGAAAATAATTATTTCTTTATTTATAACTTGTTTGTAAATGTCTAAAGTGCTTCAAATGTTCTTTGATACAGCATCAAAAATATTTGAATACCATTTAACAAGGTCTGCTATCATTATTATTATTATTACTATATTATTATTATTATTATTATTATTATTATTATTATTATTATTATTATTATTATTATTATAAAAGCTCTTATTTCAATAATTATTGTTACACTGATACTGTACTGACAAACTGCGTCATATTCGTCTTTAACGCTGTCCCGCGCAGCCAACGCGGTATGAGACGAATACGTATGGAGCGCGTATATAGAGGCTTTCTCGTTCATTTCCAAAATGCGATTTCGAAAAATTTATTATAGGTATATTGTATTCAGCATAAAAATTGCTTTAATTTTTGTCCTTATAAAAATTTAAAATTTTTTTAAATTAGGTGGAGGGGTGTGGTCGAAAATATAATATTTTTGCAAAATTTGAACACATTGTTATAAAATACACTTGTAGCCATAAAACTTTTGTTTAAAATTTTTTTTCATATTTTTAACGGTTTGGATGATATTTATTCCGGAAAAGAAAACCGATTTTTTCAAGGGATTTTCACTCCCTTAACGTGCGAGAACACAGATAAAAAGAATATGTATGTCTTATTTTTGTTTATATTTTAACATATTTGAAATTAAAATCGGTGAGAGACACTTCCATCACTTCCCTTATAAGACAAACATGATGAACTAATTGTCAATTATTATAAAATCAAATTATATTTATCTTTGTCACTATATATTATGTTCAATATACGTCACGATACATGTAAAATTTATGTATGACTGTTCCAGGACTCTCCTTAGGCGGCGGGTTGATAGTTTTAGCATCAGCATTGTCGGACGCATCACTAGAGTTATCGGGGAAATATAGTTTGCCATCCACGGCCGGCATGCAAATGGATGATAACAGTCTACCTCAATACCACTACGGCTGGTGCTTACAGCTTTCAGGATTAGCGCTGATGCTCGCGGAAGTGGCAGCCGTTTTAACGATGTCCGGTTACATGGCGCGGTTCTCTACGGTCGAGGAGATGGTGAAATTGTCGATTAAAATTTTCGTAGCGAATCAACTCGCTCAATTTTAGTTAGGAATCCATTTGAATCACTAGAATCCACTGAAATAACATACATCGAAATCCCACTAGAATCCACTGAAATAACATACATCGAAAATTACGCAAATGGATTCCTAGTTTATTTTTATCATTATGTGTTTTGCAATTATATTTTGTTTAATTCAGAGATATTCTCTCTAATATGCTCTCTGTTTTTCTTGTTAGGTAAGAGTCATGGTTCCAGGCGCTGAGAGAAAACTGAGGGAACAGAGAGGATTCAGCTCGGAGTACCTCGTGAGGGCACATCAAAAATCACCGGGACTGCCGCAGGCTCGACCCTTTGGTCAACTAACAAAAAGTGAGTGAACTTATCATTAAAGAGGGTGTTCCGCGTGTATGTGATGGTGCGGCACATCATAACATCTGATTGTAAAGATCGAGGGATTCATTATCCGTAGATTCTACGATCGAAGAGTATGCCAGGATTCTCAGATCCGAAAGAATCCCAATGATCTAAAAAATAAAAAAAACTCCGAAATGCTGCGGGACACCCTATAAAATAATAAGCGCGCTTTTTCTCTTGTTCTGGAGGAAAATAAGTCCGTACTTCTGTGTCCTAGCGCCTCAAAAAATAGCTGAAGAAGGAACTTCATTGCTCTGCAAGTCGGCACCCGATATTTGCGCATCGAATCCACAGGCCATCAGTTACGTCGATAAGGCAGATCTATCTCATGTCTTGCCAGTGTACCCGGACGGCAAGAACATCGATCCGCGATACAACTTCGATAAGACAGAAGGCAGCGTTATAGATTCCCGACTGAGCGGTTTCACTGATAAGGAAGGTTTCATTGATTCCCGGATTCTCTCTGACTCTAAGCAGAACATGATCGCTTTTACAGACAGCAAGGAACTTGATCAAGAGCAGCGGTATACCGATTTCTCTGCGAGAAACACTGATCAAAATATTGTGGATTCCAGACTAAGCGGTTTCGCCGACAAAGAAGGTCTTCTCGATTCCAGATTAAGCGGTTTCGTTGATAAAAACGAGTCCTTATTAGATACTCCGTTCGGTTACGATACCAGATTCAGTAGTCTAGCCGGACAAACTGTCCCGATTACGTTGAAGAATCAAAATGCCTCAGTGTCAGCCATTCAATCGCAATATATATATCAAAACTTTGGAACGATACACTCAGGTATCCTTAAAGTATCAGAACCTGGTACCAGTTCTAGCTCCAACTCCAGTCAACGTAGCATGACCTTACAGAATCCAAAACGGAACTCGCAAATTGCTCAGAATACCTTTAGCACGATGGAATGCGAAAAAAGAAAGCGAGCATCCGGTTTAACTAGCAAGACGAGTTTTTATACCGGAAGTGCTGTATGACCACCACCACCGCCTCCGACCCCAAAGTAACTCTCAGAAGAGGACACTCCACTATAGCCGGATAGCTCAATGTGACTTTCGAGTTGGGTTGGAGGATATACATCACTGATTACAAGCAAAAGAAGAAACAAAAAAACAAATGGAATTTTTTACAAACTGCAGATCTCTGCCATATTTACATTGCCATCAACAATATATTTATCAATGTACGATATATAAATGAAAAACCATTCTTGAGTATTTTGTACTATCAGCGTTATAGATTCTTACTAGAATTTCAAAAAAATGACAAAGAAGAAACCAAAATTGTAATTATTCCATGATAATGCGAGCGATGCCATTAATCAAGCAATATCAATGTAATTGGATTTAAGTAAAATCTTTCATAATTGGATTGGAATAGAATCTATAAAAGTACAATTTATGAGCAAGAGAAAGAAAACGCAAATGTAATTTTTTGTCGATAACATTATAAACAACTTCATTAAATAAATTGAATAATATAACGTACAGATAAAAATGATGAACAATTCAAATTACTTTCTTTTCATTTTACATATTGAAAAAATAAAGTAATGTCCGTCATTTGCTGTTAAGACTTTAATTCAACATCGTAATCGCGTTTTAGCTGTCTGAAAATGAACAAAGCTATAAGGCGAAATATTAAAAATATAGTCAATATGGTGTAATATAATTGGTGGTTGATATATTCAACATAAGTCGGGCGTAACTTTTATATTTTTGTTTAACCGCGAAAATATGTCAATCAATGATAAATTAGTTATTTATGATTAAAGATTTCTTTGATTTCCTTTAGCGACTTACATTAGTAAGCGCTCTAATTATATCAGTAATCAAGAACATATCAGAAATTATTTCATTGACTGCTATAATTGTTGGAAAGTCCTTTATTTTTAGATTCTGATTTCATATTCCTTTCATAGGACGAAAATTGGAATAGATACTAAATGTTTTATGCGCTCATATAGAAAAATAATACGTACATTAATATGCTGTAACGATCATAGTTGAGTGTAATAAAATATTTCTTTTCTAATAATGTTGCTTTTTTTTTCTCCTTTTGTCTTTCCACGTGTTATATTATTCAATATTTGCTATACGGTAAGAAACAATAAATATGCACTTAATTTTATTATTGTTATTGTTAATTTATTATAATGTAAACATTATTGTATCAATATAATGCTATCTATTAGTTATTAGCTTAATATTAATTTTTTAATATTAGTTTTAATATTAGTTTTAATATTAAGTTTTAATAGTTTGTTATTAAAAGTTTCTATAAATATTAATAACAGAATTATAATTACTTTTTTGAAATAAATTGTTATTTATTTAAATGTCAATAGTAGCAAACATTAGTAGCAAATATATAAGTCGCATAAATTTTATTTAAGAATTTATTTAAAATCTTACTTAAGAATTTAATTCGTCTTGAAGCTTATTTTATATAATCTATAAATCTTATTATAATTTAAGATATAACTTTATGTGTAATTTTATTTATAATTATACAAAATAAATTTTAATAATTGTCTCAAGGTTTTATCACGGGAGATAATTACCGACTGCAATTATAATCCAAACTGTCCAGCATGACAGCTGCTTGAATCGATAATATTTTATAAATATATTTCTGATAGAATATGTAATTGTATTTTTCTATAAAAAGCGATATTCTAGTGAATATTTTTGACATATAAAATAATAAAATAATAAAATAAAATAATAACATAAAGTAATAAAATGAAATAATAAAAAATTTAAGATAATAACAATGGACTTCTATCACTCTTGAGATTCCATTCTTAGCACGTTAGGTGGTTTGTTTAAAGTGGATTTGCCTGAAACTATATTATACCACATTTTTTATAACCGAGTTTTCGGTACGTAAAATTCAAATATATTGAAGTCACATTGCGTAATGGCATACGCAAATAAAAAAATTATAATGTGTAATCGTACGCCACAATGTCCATAATAATATTATATTTTTATTTAATACGTGGTCGAAATGACATCTCTCTCTCTTTTTTCTCTCTTTTTTCAGAAAATAGAGCTTTTTTCAAAATTGCGCTACGTATCCAGTCATCTTAAACAGCAGATTTTACGCAATGCAACCGGCTAGTGTCGAAGATCTAAAAGACGGAATTATACATACTTGCCATACAATAAATTCACAGAACTTGCACTAGGTACGTGGCGCAATTTTGAAAAAGGCTTTATTTTTGTAAAAGAATAAAAGGAAGTCATTTCAGGCACATGTTAAAATAAAAACATGACATGATTGTGGGACATTGTTGCGCACGGTCACACATTGATGTAATTTTTCATCTGCGTGTGTTCGTATGCAATATAACTTTAATATATCTGTTTGAGTTTCACATACCAAAAAATAGGTCTTAAAAATATGTTACAATATGATTTCAAGCGAAATTCCACTTTAAAAAATTTAACGCGCCAAGAGGAGAACCTCGAGAGCGGTACGGAAGTCCACTGTTATTATCTTTAATTTTTTATTATTTTTATATATCAAAAAATATTCAGCAAAATATTACTTTTTATAGAAAAAAATTACATAATTATTAAGAAGTATGTTTATAAAATACTTTAAGAATTATATTTTAATACTTTAAGAAGTATATTTATAAAATTATCGACTCAAGCAGTTATCACAATCAACTATGGATTAATGATTACAGTTGCAATCGGTAATTATCTTCTATGATAAAACATTGAATCATTAAGATTCACCCTGTATATGTAATGAAAAGTATATTTAGAGAATATTTTTCAAAAATACAATATGTATAAAACATATTACAAAACACGGTTATAAATGTTACATGTAGATAATTTCTATTTTGAGAAGAAAAAATATTTTTTTTAATATTAGACACATTGCAGATTATCAAAAATGATTGACAGTCGGGATGCAATAAAAATACAGAAAAGAAAATTCGACCGATGGTACTATATAGAAAACTTAAGGTAGGGTAATTACAACTTTGATTCGGAGATGGCACTGTTTTATCGTGAAAGTCTACTTAACTCCCAAGAAAATCGGATAGATGGCGAAATCGTGTTCAGATTAGCCGCCATCTCTTCTAATGTTTAATTAACGCTGCATAATTGGCCGGCCAATTAGTGCACGCCGTTTAATATTAATCTGCAATTTGAATTCATTTCAATGCGTTTAAAATTTATTGAATACATAATTAATGCGGCGTGTTGCGAGTACAGATGCGACGCACGATGCGGATCACTCGTTTATCATGGTGTATTTTGAAATTCGAAATGAGAAAAAAACCGTATTGATTCCGTATCGTTCACAAAATTATTGCTTGCTTCAAAGCAATAAGATCAAAAGCAATAATTAATTAAGCTTGAACTGTAACATTAGTAACGAACAACGTCGTGAGGATTAGCGATTCTTAAAAATGCGGCATAAAATTTTCAATGGAAGCAAATTAAACTGTGATAGAGAAGTTAAGTTCCTCATTTCCGATGATGTTTCTTTTCCGGTGGAATCGGTGGAATCGGTTGGAAAAGGGAACGCAAAGTTGCTCATCTCTGTCATTTACCTCGCTATCTCGCAAACCCACCCCCGCCCTACCTCGAAATACCGCCCTACCGATCCCTTCCCGCAATCTCGCACCCTCGAAACGAGCCACCTTCCCCTCGGTCGCGCTAGCTGTCTCACTCTAATCCAATTAAAAACGTCGGACGATCGCGCGAAACAGCGACGCATCGACCACGAGAATTTTAATTGATGTTACAGGTAGGAGAGAGGGTAGTTACCCCGGGAAAGGGATCGTTATTGCATGCTCGCAAGAGAAAGAGATGCGTGCCAAGATTTTGTTTCATTATAACGTTACAACATTTATCGCTATAACTTATTTCATCTTATTTATGTCTCATTTTATATAATGATAAAGCAAAATGTATATACATAAAATAAAATAAAATTTTTCGTATCGCGACATGTCATTGGATATACCGAAAAATATACAACAGAACAAAATAGATGAAATATAGAATATAGAAATCTGTTTAAAAAAATATAATTTTGAAATTTAACTTGTTAAAACTTTTGTCTCCAATTCTGTAAGAGGAAAAAGATTTTAACTTATACTTATATATTTAATAAACAAAAATAAATATTGTATTTGCTCAAAAAAATAACGTAGTGAAAATATATTAATAGAAAATAATATATTATTAGTATTTTATTTTATATTCGCATCAGAATGATATTAAAAGATGTTAAATGTCAATGGTATGTTCAGGAAAATCTGAGATCGTTCTCGTAATTCTTTCTGGAGAATCGACAAAGAACGCAAAGACTTTTTGCGTGTTCGATAAACGCCAATCAGGATACTCGAAGTTCTTCGTGAAAGTCACAGACAAGGGTAAAATCTAAGGGTGAACAACCCTCGAGGATAAAGTTTGGAAGATGGACTTTGAAAAAATCGGACTCTATTCCACAAATGGAGACGTTTTCACGTCATTCTCTTGACCGTCCTTGTGGGAAGGTGTAGATTTTACTTTTTCTTCGCCCTTGTTCTAACCCGTAATACTGATATTGTCCTTTTCGTCCGGCTTTCGCGGTTTATCACGTTCATTAAAGCTTATAAGTCCATCCTTTCGCTCTTTTTAGGAAAAGTTTGGCTCCTCTTCAAAGAGACGCAAGCTGAAATTAGGCTTTTCCCGAAATCCAGAAATTGCTAAATAAATTGTATCGACTTGTGTTTTATATTAAAACGTTAGTTTTGCTTGTGACATAGATGACGAAAAGAATGAAAATTGCGACAAGAATACAAGAAATTCTTTGGCAAATAAAAAAGAAAACTAGAGAATGAAAGAGAAAATGGCGGCCAGACAGCCAGCGGGCAGCCAGGATTCGCTGCCAAATGAAATTATCCTTTGAGGGCAGTGGCGATCTCGAGAGTTAATTTCGCGAGACAAGGCTGACTCACCTTCTGCCACCCCCGTCTGCTGCATCGATATCACTATGGCCAGCCTCCGGCCATAATTTAATACATAATATGTTCCTCCAATTCCTGATAAGAGCAAATCTCGCATCAACTCAAGGATATATACAAATTGAATTTATAATTATATGCTGATAATAATAATTAAATATTTTTAACAATGCAGCTAACATCTAATATTGCAAATAAATTACAAATTAACACAAGGTACCGTAAATTCTGTAATCTTTTTTATCATAAAAAATTCTTTAATTTGTTTTTAAAAATGCTATTTGTATTTAAAATAATGACAATAATTGTATTGATATTAATAAACTAATAATAATCGCAATATATTATAAAGAATTACTTTCAAGGACGATTTAATCTCCATTTATTATAACCAAACGATGATGATGATTAGCTGAGTCTATCTCTTAATTTCTTTTTCGTCGATTTTTTGTTACCTTGTTTAATAACTCGTGATGAACGTACC